TGGCATAACTGAATGTCAACATGTAGAATAATTCAAGTTGATCCATATCTATTGCCTGGCACAAAACTAAAGTTCAAGTGAATCAAAGACCTCAACATAAATCCAGGTACACTGAACCTGACCGATGAAAAAGTCTGAGGTAGCATTGGACACACTGGCACAGGAGACCACTTCCTTTTTACGACACCAGCAGCACATGTTACTTCCTAGGTTAATTTCATGTGCCTCAGGCTAATGCTCTAAATAAGTTTTCACCCCATTTAGCAAGACCTCTGCCAATTTCCTGAGTTTTCTCAGATATGTCATGTATGATTCCCAAGGTTATAAGCAATAGAAAACCTAACCTGAGTTCAAGCAATAAAAGAATTTATTGGTTCATATAAGTAAATGAGTTAAAGTCATTTGGAGCTATTGGCAAAGTTTGATCTAGGAGTTCAAGCAATGTAATTAGTGACTATGATTTGAATGTGTTTCCTAGAGGTTTATATATTAGAAGTTACCACGGTGGTCATCTTAAGAGGTAGTGGGACCTTTAAAAGTAGGCTCTAATGGGAAGTTATAGGTTATTAATGGTGATACTCCCGCAAGGAATTGATGTAGTCTTGTGTGATCCCTGGTTAGTTCTTGCAAAATGCTTGTTATAAGAGAATGCTAGACTTCTGAATCACACTGGGGTTTACTTTCTTGCAATGTGATTCCTATTTATTATATTGCATTTGCCATAATGCCATCTGACCTGAGGCCCTTCCCAGACCCAAGCTGATGGTAGTGCTGCGCCTTTACACTTCTCAACTGTTAGTGAAACAGTCTCTTCGCTTTACAAATTATACAGCCTTAGGTATATATTTTTTATAGTAATAGAAAAATGGATGAATACTGTGTCAGTTTGGGTATTTCTCAATTTTCTTACTTAGGTGTTGAGTACATTCTTGTTCAGCTCTTCCCATATCAACAGCATGTGAGATTATATTTTTCCAGATCAAATTCAATGAGACAGACAGACGGAGAGACACACATACTATCCAGACTCCTTAATTTAAGATAGAAGTTAAGTTTTATTAGCTTTGGTTGGATGACATTGGTTCTGTATTTATCCTGGAGCTAATGAATCTATGGGGAAGATGAACAAATACAGATATCTTTAATTATACTACCAAATGTCCAGGGGTAGGTAGGATCAGGACCTTGCAGTTGACCATGCAGTTGATGCATGATCTAGACCATGATTTTGGCCACAGAATGACCTGCCTTTTGCTCTAGAAGGATAACTAGCTGTCAGACTGTAGCAGGAAGTAGACAGCAGGGTGTGACAAACTGACTATAATTCTGTTTCTATAAACACAGGACCATTCTCGAACTGGGGGTAAGGCCAATCTCAATATACTCCTGAGATGTTAAATTAATGGCACAGCTGAGAAGAGGGGTTCAGGAAAATGATACTGGATACTCACTCAGCCGAAGTCTACTCTAACCACTCAAACCTTCCTAGGCTAGTCCTTTTCTAGGTGAACCCCATATGGTCTATGACCTCTTCATCAGCTTGGCACGCCCTTAGGTCCTTCCTCAAACACATCCTTTATCATACTTCCTGGTGGGGTCATGCTGATATACAAATTTACTATAAAATGCAAAAGTCAGCAGATAGCTCATCATGTTTGCTAATTCTCTGACCTGGGTAAACTGTATTTTCATTGGAATAAAGTGAAACCTGGATATGGATTTTTCAGAAGTGAGATAGACCAATAGAGAAGGAACTATCGGGGTTCCTTTCATCTTATTATCTCATGCTTCCCCACCTGTGGTTAGGTCTGGCTCCCCTATCTCCTTAACAGGGAGGAGACTTGGTGTCCTCTGCCAGAAAGGACAAGAGGCCACATTGCCTACTCACTGTTTTCTGAGTCAGAACCTACTGTTGGAGTTCCAAGTCCACCTATGCCCTCTTTTGACCCTGTCACCTCTGCACCACATTCCGTCTTTGTTTTTCTGTCACTATGGAAGATCTGACTTCTACAGATTGACCCTCCTTTATGCCCTTCTATCTCCTGATTTGGTTGACTTTGGGGGGACATTAGTAGGAGGTTGGAAAGTGGAAAAAGAAAGGATTCGGGGCATAGTTCCCAGTGCCAGCACTATTTCTAGCAAAAGCAGTTCCAGTTGATTTTTTTTTCTTTTAGTAATTTTATTAAATTATAAAAAGTTTCCATTTACGCCCCTCCTCCCAACGCCCTCCCACTCCCCCCCTCCCTCTCCTCCTCCCTCTTTGTCCCCAAGGGAAGTCAGGGTCTCCTGCCCTGTGGGAAGTCCAAGTTCCTCCCCCCTCACTCCAGGTCCAGGAAGGTGAGCATCCAAACAGACTGGATCCCAAAAATCCAGTATATGCAGAGGAAACCAGTCCCAGTGTCATTGTCAATGGCTTCTCGGAAAGACTGCAGGCCAGCCACATTCAGAAAATCCAACCACATTCAGAGAATCTGGTTGGATCACATGCTCTTTCAGTCACGGTTGATTTTTGGAGACACCATTCTTGCTCCTTCATACAAGAGTGTTGATGGGATCTTGTTGCTAATTTACAGATGCCATGTCAGATCTTGTCTGGGCTTTACAGCCCTATCTACCCCCTGAAAGGACCCTAACATCAATATTGGTGGTGAATTCTGGGTTCTGTAGTTGCCCATAATGATACAACTCTACACTGGAGGGAAAACAGCAGGCACTCCCTGTCAAGGCAAGGGCTTCGGTTAAGATTGTCGTTCAGCAGAACTCTTGGCTGTGGCATTCAGAGTAGCCATGATCTTTCTGGGAAACTGGGAATTTCTCTACTCATCACCAGGCCTGAGTGACTGCATCTACTCATGAGGGATTTGATGTTTTATCCTCATCATCTTGACAATATGTTCTATGTTCCTGTCCAATCTTCAGTATGGTTTTGGGGGTAGTAGTTCATCCTCCTCTGATCCTTCTGGGGCTGTGACATTGTCCCTAATGTGATCCCACAAAGAGGAACTAAAGACGTTATGAAACAGGCAAAAGGATGAATTCCATCATGGCATCACGTGAAGGGGACAGTGGAAACTGCCTAATGAGGAAGCACAGAAGACCTTATCTGGGAAACAGACACATAGAGCGAGTTCCTACGACCCCTTTGGGTGGGATAAGTGAGATAGTGTGTATAAAATCTCTTAAACATACAAGGTACTTATAAATAAAAAGCCAGTTGCAATGATCACACAAAGAACTGCCCTCTGTTCTCTTCTTCAAGAAACCAAGGTGGGGTGTTCACGGTCTGGTCTCTATTAAGCTGTGTTTTGGTCGAAGTCAGTCAAGTTCGCTCTGTTGCCTATGATCTTTGAGGGAGTTATCTCCACCCTATGGCACTCAGCCCAGTTTGGGCTGTTGCTGGCTGTCGGGTGGGGCAAGGGGGTGGGAACTGTCAGGATGCCTGTGTCCAGAGTATAAGGCAACCCAAAGGCAGCTGGAGGCAGTGGGGGAGCCTGGGCCCTGTGAGTATAGCCATGGTGCTCAGCTTTCTCTCCCCGAACTTGTCCCGCCTGGGCCTGTGGGCTTCCGTAGTGATCCTGATCGTAAGCGTCCTCAAGCTCTTCAGCCTGCTGGTGCG